TGCTACTTAACAAGCTGCTTAATGTGCTACTTAATCTGTTTAAAATGCTATTTAATGTGCTACGTAACATGTTGCTTTACAAGCTGCTTATCAAGCTGTTTAATAAGCTGCTTAAGCTGCTTAACAGCTGCATCATGAGCTGCTAAAGCTAAGGTTAAGCACTGTAACAAATTATTTATTTATTTTTTATGAAAAATGCTCTAAACACAAATTTGTGATGATAAATCACTTGGAACAGATTAAATATAAAATCAGAGGTTCTATTATTTGTAAGACGTATAATAGCATTTATGAGTATTTGTATCAACACTCAAAGTAAGTACTCAAATGTATTTGTACTTGTACTCAGTTTGAATAAATGTGGTATGGACTCATCCCCAATCAGCAAGAAAATCAGCTGACCACCTCATGCTGCTGGATTCACATCTGCTCACCACAGACTCATGTTCAGGCTGCTGTTTAATGCACCGTATTATTTTACATTATTAGTGTTTAGCGTATATCTTAGATCCTTGTTACTGTTTCTGTTTATACTTTATATATTTGTTGTTTTTGGGTGTAACCGGGACCTTGCGTACACCATTTCCTTCCACCTCATGGACCACATGTGATGAGAACGACAATAAAGAACCTTGAACTTGAAAAGATGAAAATTTGAAGCTTTAAAGATTTACCGAAGTTAAAAACTTTTTCAAGAAAGTTTCTGAAACTGCGAGAAGAACCGGGCCGAGCCGACCCAGAGGGTCCGTGTTCCGTGTGTGGACTCACATGTGAGCACCGTGGGCATCAGAGCGGCGAACATGAGGAACAACATGGAGAAGAAGAGGAACCCGGAGTTACTCAGAACCTTCTTGGCCTCGTTCCCGATGCCCAGGTACAGCAGACCGATCAGAACGCCGATCCCGATGTGGGACGAGATCCTCAGGTGAGTCAGCACCTGCTCGGCCAATCACAGCATGTTTTACTCACACGTGGATCAGAAGTATTTAGATCTGAGCCCAGTTTGGTTCTGGTAGAACAGCTGTAATGAGGAATGAGCTGAAGTTTTAAATCGTTTAAAGGATGTGTTTTAAATAAAATATATAATGTGATGAACTTTTTACTGATCCTGACCTGAAAACAACAACAAATAGAAGATGTTTACTAAAGAAATACATCATTTCTCAGATGTTCCTGAACATCTGTCAGGAAATCCAGGACACTTTTTCTTTTTCTTCCAAAATTCACTGAGGTCAGGACACGAGTCTTCTCACCGAGTCTCTGAGGATGCTGAGGAACGTTCTCCGGAGGAGGATGAGGAACTGCGTCATGCAGCTCGCCGAGAAGCTGTGACAACCTTCAGATGAAGAGTTCTCCTGACCACAACAACAAATAAATCAATAACAACATTTAAAGTCTGATTTAAACGTCTGAGCAACAAACAAACACCGGACCAGTTTGGCTTTTCTGCAAACTGAAAAGTTTTTAATATATTTTATATTTTTATTATAAAGTGCTTGTTTGTTTGATATGAAAGAGGATTAGGGCCACTGTGCAAAAAATAAAGTTATTATATAAAAAAAATGGAATTCTGACTTTAATCCCAGAATTCTTTGTCATGAGGACCATTCAGGAGGAAGTTGTCTGAAGATGTTGGATCTTAGTGAATCATGGAGACGTCCAGGAGTCCCTGAAGAGTTTGTTTGATTCAGGAGTCCGAGTCTTACTGTACAAACCGGATTCCAAAAATGTTGGGACACTAAACAAATTGTGAATAAAAACTGAATGCAATGATGTGGAGGTGCCAACATCTAATATTTTATTCAGAATAGAACACAAATCACAGATCAAAAGTTTAAACTGAGAGAATGTTTCATTTTAAGGGAAAAATCTGTTGTTTCCAAATTTCATGGCGTCAACAAATCCCAAAAAAGTTGGGACAAGTCCATTTTTACCACTGTGTGGCATCCCCCCTTCTTCTTACAACACTCAACAGACGTCTGGGGACAGAGGAGACCAGTTTCTCCAGTTTAGAAATAGGAATGCTCTCCCATTCATGTCTAATACAGGCCTCTAACTGTTCAATCGTCTTGGGCCTTCTTTGTCGCACCTTCCTCTTTATGATGCACCAAATGTTCTCTATAGGTGAAAGATCTGGACTGCAGGCTGGCCATTTCAGTACCCGGATCCTTCTCCTACGTAGCCATGATGTTGTGATTGCTGCAGAATGTGGTCTGGCATTATCGTGTTGAAAAATGCAGGGTCTTCCCTGAAAGAGATGACGTCTAGATGGGAGCATATGTTGTTCTAGAACCTGAACATAGTTCTCTGCATTAATGGTGCCTTTCCAGACATGCAAGCTGCCCATGCCACAAGCGCTCATGCAACCCCATACCATCAGTGATGCAGGCTTCTGAACGGAGCGTTGATAACAACTTGGGCTATCCTTGTCCTCTCTGGTCCGGATGACATGGCGTCCCAGTGTTCCATAAAGAACTTCAAATCGTGACTCATCTGACCACAGAACAGTCTTCCATTTTGCCACACTCCATTTTAAATGACCCCTGGCCCAGTGCAAACGTCTGAGCTTGTGGAGCTTGCTTAGAAATAGCTTCCTCTTTGCACTGTAGAGTTTCAGCTGGCAACAGCGGATGGCACGGTGGATTGTGTTCACTGACAATGCTTTCTGGAAGTATTCCTGAGCCCATTCTGTTATTTCCTTGACAGTGGCATTCCTGTTTGAGGTGCCGTGACGTTTAAGGGCCCAGAGATCACGAGCATCCAGTAGAGTTTTACGGCCTTGACCCTTACGCACAGTGATCGTTCCAGATTCTCTGAATCTTTTGATGATGTTATGCACGGTTGATGATGATAACTTAAAAGTCTTTGCTATTTTACGCTGGGTAACACCATTCTGGTATTGTTGCACTATCTTTCTGCGCAACAATGGTGGAATTGGTGATCCTCTTACCATCTTGGCTTCTGAGAGACACTGACACTCTGAGAAGCTCTTTTTATACCCAATCATGTTGTCAGTTGACCTAATTAGTGTTAATTGGTCTTCCAGCTGTTCATTATTCAATTCAATTCAATTCAAAAATACTTTATTAATCCCAGAGGGAAATTATATGTTGGGTAACTCATCATCCTGGTTTCATTAATGAGTTGTTATAGATGCTGATGGCTGTGGGCAGGAAGGATTTCTTGTAGCGTCTGTCCTACAACGGATTTGAAGAAGCCTCTAACTGAAGACACTTTGTTGTTGCATGACAGTCTGATGAAGAGGACGCTGAGCGTCGTCTATAATGTTCTTTATTTTATGAAGAATCCTTCTTTGTACAATCATCTCCAAAGGTTCTAGATGAGTCCCCAGAACTGAGCCAGTCTTCTTTATGAGCTTGTTGATCTTTAAGTCACTTGTTCTGGTGCTGCTCCCCCAGCAGATGATGGCAGAAGAGATAGTTCTCTCTACAACAGACTTATAGAAGATATGCAGCATCTTGCTGCAAAGGTTGAAGGACTTCAGCTTCCTCAAGAAGCACAGTCTGCTCTGTCCCTTCTTGTAGACGCTTCACTGTTGCATTTCCAGTCCAGTCTATTGTCCATGTGAACTCCAAGGTATTTTTTTTCAACCTTTATTTAGATGGGTAATCCCATTGAGCTTGAGGACTCATTTACAAGAGAGACCTGATTTCAACAAAGAAAGATGACAACAATGGACAACAGCAACAACAATAAACAGTTATAAAAAGTCATACTGCAGTTTTTTTTGTTTTGTTTTTTTACAAATAGGATGGCTAAAAGAAAAGGGTAACAAAAAAACAGCTAGATTCTAAGGTGAATGTAGAAAACTAAAAACAGGAACATGTCTGCATTGGACCCTGCCAAGAGTCCCAACAGGTTCTTAAAGCCACTTAGAGAGGTCAAAGGTCGAGAGCTTCAAATCTTTTTGTAAGATATTCCAGGAAACAGGAACAGAATAGGAGAAGGCCCTTTTGCCTAGTTCAGTCTTCATTGAGGGAACACTGCAGGTAATAATGTCCTGAGAGCGCACGCTGTAGCTGCACTCACGCAGAGACATGTAGGAGGACATGTATGAAGGCAGCAGACCAAGAAGTGATTTAAAGATGAAAATGTACCAGTGAGAGAGTCTGCATTTATACTTTTTATTTATTTATTTATAAACATTTATACTTCTCCAACACCTCCACTTCTTCTCCCATGATGGAAATAGAGTTGGATCTGTTCCTGATTCTCCTGAAATCTAACAATCACCTCCTTTGTTTTGTTCACATTCAAGATGAGATGATTGTTTCCACACCATGCCACAAAGAGGTCCACCAGTTCCCTGTACTCAGCTTCTTGTCCATCGCTGATACACCCGACCACTGCAGAGTCATCAGAATATTTCTGCAGATAACAGGAGTCTGTTTTGTACTGGAAATCTGAGGTGTACAGAGTGAAAAGGAATGGTGAGAGTACAGGCCCCTGTGGTGCTCCTGAGCTACTGACCACCTGGTTAGACACACAACCCTTCAGTCTCACAAACTGTGGTCTGTCCGTCAGGTAGTCTTTGATCCAGGTGATTGTTGAGGCCTCCACCTGAGTCTTCTGGAGTTTCTGACAAAGCAAATCAGGCTGGATTGTGTTAAATGCACTGGAGAAATCAAAGAAAATGACTCTCACAGTGCTGTCTGCCTTTTCTAGATGACAGTGAGTTTGCTGAAGCAGGTGTATGATGGCATCTTCAACTCCAAGTCCATGCTGATAAGCAAACTGCAGTGGGTCCTGATATGTGCTTGCTTGTCCAGTCAGGTGGGTCAGGACAAGTCTATCTAGGACCTTCATGATGTGGGATGTCAGGGCAACAGGTCTATAGTCATTGATGAATGATGGGTGAGTTTTCTTTGGTACTAGAACAAGACAGGATGTTTTCCACAACACTGGAACCTTCTCCTGGGTCAGGCTAAGGTTGAAGAGGTGCTGCAGAACCCCACAGAGCTGCTCTGCACAGACCTTCAGGACACTGGGGCTGGCACCTTCTGGACCTGCAGCCTTATTCTGGTTCAGTCTCTCCAGCTGCTTCCTCACCTGACTTCTGGAGACGCAGAGGGGGAAGGCAAAGGAGGTATCAGCATCTTCTGATTTGGTTGAAGACCAATAAATAGAAGAAGGGTCCATGACTGAGGCGGTAGATACAGTATTTGAGGTGTGACAGGACAGCCTTGGGTCAATGAAGGGTGGTATGTATGTTTGGCTGTGAGCAAGAGAGGAGGCTGCTGAGCTTGTTCCTGAACTGAACCTATTCAAGAACGTGTTCAGTTCATTGGCTCTGTCCAGGCTTCCATCCTTCTGATCCTCCTTCTGCTTGAAGCCTGTGATCTGTTTCATCCCTGACCACACCTCTCTGATATTGTTCTGTTGGAGCTTGCTCTCCAGCTTCTTCTTGTACACCTCCTTGCTGTTTCTTATTTTGACTTTTAGTTGCTTTTGTGTGCTCCTCAATAATTCCTTGTTATGTGCTCAATTTCCTTTTTCCAGCCACTTATTGCTACTTGTCCCAACTTTTTTGGGATTTGTTGACACTGTGAAATTTTGAATCAACATATTTTTCCTTTAAAATGTTACATTTACTCAGATTAAACTTTTGATCTGTCATCTATGTTATATTACAAATAAAATGTTGTCATTTGCCATCTCCACATCATTGCATTCAGTTTTTATTCACAATTTGTTTAGTGTCCCAACATTTTTGGAATCCGGTTTGTACAGTAAGACTCGGACTCCTGAATCAAACAAACTCTTCAGGGACTCCTGGACGTCTCCATGATTCACTAAGATCCAA